TTACTTAATTTACCGAAATCTCCAACCCTAGGACCCGTGTGTGGTTACCAACGCCCAGATCACTCTCAAATCGTATTCGGCTTCGAAAATTTGGCGCGCCTTCGGCGCACTATTTCAAAATGCTGCTTGACAAAAAGCCAAGGGATTAAAAAAAAAAATGGATCGATCCTTTTTAATGGAAGGATTCACAGGACAAAGCCCCCGCATAAACAGATCTTGCTGCGTTGGCCCTGCCCTCTGCCTTCCGATCGCGCAATTCCTGATCTATGGCAGAGTTTAGAGTCCGAAGCTTAACCCGCGCACCGACGGGGGTCTGCGCCAATTTAGAATCGACGGGGGCGGATGACCCCCCCCCCCCCCCTGAGATCTCGAGAACGAAGCAGGATAGCGACAAGCGGTTAACGGCATGGGGTACGCACGGACAAGGTCTACAATTTTTACAAGGTCATTTTCAGGTCAGGTCAAAGATGACATCACAGGGGTCAAAAAAGTCAAAATGGCGGCGCTAGATAGGTATGGAGGGAATTTTTCTCGAATAAATTTCGAATTGGTCAAGCTACGAACAAACTATGGGCACCATCGTGATCCTCTTGTCAATCCGCATCGAACCGTAAATATGTTGACCTCGAAAGGTCAAGGTCAAAGGTTGACCTCAGGTCACGTGACCTCGAGATCATCATGTATATCATTCGATGCGCCTTGACGAGCTGAACACAATGAGACCGTCCACGCGTCTGTATCTTGTTCCTGTAAGGAGTTATTGGCGAAAAAGCTTTGGTGACCTTTGATGACGTCACATGACCTTACAGCTGCCCAACAGCAAAACAGGCCTCAAGGTAGTGAAGCTTGATCGTATATGAAGTCATGTATGGTATATGGGGTCACTCTGACGCGTTTTAGTGGAAAAAGGGAGTTGATTTTTCTCTTATTGACCTATAATGGGGAGGTCGAGAAATTGACCTGACCTTAGGTCAACGATATCAAAATTCCTAGATGAACTAATTGTAGCTACCAATGACCTAATAACATCCTCCGACTTTCAAAGGCCTCCGACATCTACTGTAGCTCTGGCACGGTGACAAAGTTGCAAAAAAAAATGACTTGAGGTTGGGTCATTCAAAGTGACCTTGGGCCGTATTCACGTCGACTTCGTAAGTCGATTTTCTTTCGTAAGTATAATTTGGTATTCACGTCGACACTTGTTAAGTTTTTATCGACGGAGTTCATGTGAATAAAAAAAATTTGCTTAAGAAGTAGGTCAAACTTAAGAAAATTCTTACGAAAATGATCGACGTGAATACGGCCCCTGGTGACCTGACCTTAAAAGTTAGGAGGTTCAAACTTGCACACCACGTGTAAAATTGATGACGATAGTCGTACCAAAGTTCGCGGTGCGTAGCGCCGCGGTTTTCCCGCTATTCGCGAAAAACCTCAGGGGGGCGAATAACCCCCCCCCCCCCGCCGGTGCGCGGGTTAAAACCCTCGACCGCACATGGGGGGTGATTGCCACCCCCCCCCCCCCCCAGGCAGTCTTTCTGCTCTGCACTCAACATTTCTAGAGCTAGTAGGCTGATGTTTCGTATAGCTGCTCCTTTATCCTTTCTTGATGTCCACTGAAAATTTCAAGTTTCTGTGGTTTTTGGTTTCGGAGATATGACCTTGTTTTTCAGGTCATGTCATGACCCAAATTCTCAATTCTCAACATCTTGCGTTAGCTATGGGCCTTGTGAGCTTTTGACACCTTGATTTCGGCCTTTTTTACCAGTCTTGCCTCCCACCTATCATGGAACATGTTGTTCGACGATGTACAGATGTCAAGGTCAAGGTCAAGGTCAACCTAGGTTATCTAAGATAATTGCGTTTTATGCAAGCGGAATTTACTTTTTGTGAAGTTTTTTTTTACTGCATTTTTGGTAAAAGCTTCTCAGATCATGATTTCATGTAATATGGACACATAAACAATCGGTACACGCACACATCAGTATACACACAGACACACTCAGACATCCAAACACATATAATTTACCTTGACCTAACTTGACCTGAAATGACCTCAGCAGCAAAAACCTGGTCGGATAGTGTGACAAAGAGGTTCTAGCTGGCTTGGCACCAGAAAACGGCATCGTCATCGGTATATGATAACCAGCGCACTTGATATCCAACGGTGACCAAAAACAGCAACATTTTTTAGTTTGACCTGACCTGGAAGGTCAATGACTGACCTGAGAAGGTAAAACTGGGTATCATTGGATTCGTCTCTTCCCAAAGAATCTTTTTGGTCTTTACTGCTAAGCTCTATCTCCAACAGGAACGAAATGGCGCGGGGGGGTGGCAACCCCCCCCCCCCATGTGCGTTCTAGGATGGGAAAATGACATGTGCGGGCGAGGGTTAAGGTACTTACCTACGCACAAAGCCGCGCACGGCCGGTCCCTCTCACTGACTTTGGCTGTCCTGCCACCAGCCGCAACCATACCCGTCAGAACGCTTAGGTATACTTTATAATGACCGAACGCCCGTCGTGCTTCCAAGCCGGACTGCGTGCTGTCAGAGGCGGATCCAGCTCAGTTTTTTTTTGGGGGGGGGGGCAAACCATAACAATTTATCGATTCTTTCCATGCATCGTCCATAGGCGTAATGTTAAAATTATGCCGTTTGGGGTGGGCAAATGCCCATTTTGCCCCCCCCCCCCCCCTGGATCCGCCACTGCGTGCTGTCACCAGGCGGAGTCCAACGATCTACCGACTGAGCTACGAGACCAGGACTGGTCGACATCCCTGGTTCACCACCTGTTTGTCTTATGTGATATCGAGCCGTCCAGCATTGGAAATGCCTGCGTTCCTAGATGCCAGTGACCCGCTTTAGTGCTTTGATTCGAATGTTCAATTTTCTTTGTAAAGCTCTTACGAGGTGAGCTCTCGTCTTTTTGTAGCTGATTTGAGACACAATAAAACAGTGGCGCGGGAACTTCTTCCAGACCTGGGGGAGGGGGGGGCTGCACCATAATAGAGATCAACCTAGGGTACCCCGAAATCTAGTTTTCTTTTCGGTTTTAGGCCACTTTTTCCGACATTGGCCTTTTCAACGAAAAAAAACATTTGCAAAAAAGTGAGGTATTCCGCCCCAGCCGAGTGACGAAACTACCGTTTTGGCAACCTTGAATAAAGGATTTAATCTGCCAAATGAGTTGCCGAGCCAGTGAAAGAGGCAGATTTTTCACTTGCATTCTTTCTTTCTTTGTGACCCACAACCCCTAATTTGGGGAGGACAAGCTATCCCAACGGTTCCTGGCCTAATGAAAAGTTGTAATGAAAAGTAATGAAAAGCTGCCCCCTCCCCCCCCCCCGGTTCCCGCGCCTATGAATGATACTATGAAATTATATTGTTAGTTTTCCGATTTCGATTCCTCCAGTTGGAGGGGTTCAAATACATTACGAGCCCCTCCAGCTGAAAAGTCGGAGGGGCTCAGTCCCCGTTAGCCCCCCCCCCCCCCCGGTCATAGGCGGCGGAACGGGGAGGGCACCGGGGCACCGTGCCCCCTTTGATTTGGGCATTTTAACATGAGCCCTATGGGCGTTGCATGAAAGAATGGGACCAAAAGTCGGCAGTGCCCCCCTCCCCCCCCTTGATTGAAGGTGTTCCGCCGCTACTGCCCCCGGTTCCCGCGCCACTGCAATAAAAAGCTGAAAACGCAACATAATTAGATAAATAAAAGAAGTTGACCTTTTCCTCGACATCAAAAATGTAAAAAGCCGAATAATATATTTTAAAAATTATAAAAAAAACGGTTTATATTAAATAAACCGTTTTTTTTAATATATTATTCGGCTTTTTACATTTTTGATGTCGAGGAAAAGGTCAACTTCTTTTATTTATCTAATTATATTCAATATGTTCCTCGCTCGAGCACTTAGTAATATTACCAATCTGAAAACGCAACGTTTAATTTCCTATAACCCGCGCACCGACGGGGGTCTGCGCCAACTTCGTACCGACGGGGGGGGGGGCGGATGACCGCCCCCCCCCCCCCTGAGATCTCGAGAACGAAGCAAGATAGCGACAAGCGGTAAACGGCATCGGATACGCACGGCCAAGATCTACAATTTTTGCAAAGGTCATTTTCAGGTCAGGTCAAAGATGACGTCACAGGGGTCCAAAAAGTCAAAATGGCGGCGCTAGATATGGAGAGAGTTTTTCTCGAATAACTTTCGAATTAGTCAAGCTAGGAACAAACTAAGGGCATCATCGTGATCCTCTCGTCAATCCGCATCGAATGATATATATGTTGACCTCGAAAGGTCAAGGTCAAAGGTTGACCTCAGGTCACGTGACCTCGAGGTCATCATGTATATCATTCGATGCGTCTTGACGAGCTGAACACAATGAGACCATCCACGCGTCTGTATCTTGTTCCTGTACGGAGTTATTGGCCAAAAACCTTTGGTGACCTTTGATGACGTCACATGACCTCACAGCTGCCCAACAGCAAAACAGACCTCAAGGTAGTGAAGGTTGATCGTATATGAAGTCATGTATGGTATATGGGGCCATTCCGACCCGTTTTAGTGGTAAAAACAGGGAGTTGATTTTTCCCCCATTGACTTATAATGGGGAGGTCGCGAAATTGACCTGACCTTAGGTCACCGATATCAAAATTCCGAGATAAACAAATTGTAGCTACTAATGACCTAATAATATCCTGCGACTTTCAAAGGCCTCCGACATCTACTGTAGCTCTGGCACGGTGACAAAGTTGCAAAAAAGTGACTTGAGGTTGGGTCATTCAAAGTGACCTGGTGACCTGACCTTAAAAGGTAGGAGGTTCAAACTTGCACACCATGTGTAAAATTGATGAGGTTATAGTCATACCAAATTTCGCGGCGCTACGCGCCGCGGTTTTCCTGCTATTCGCGAAAAACCTCAGGGGGGGCGGATATCCGCCCCCCCCGTCGGTGCGCGGGATAATATCATGGTATATGCTTATCAGACAAGGGCACTTCGATGCGATGTATAATGTATATTTATTTCCAAAACAAAATGTATAGCCGTCAAAAAGCTATCGACCGAAATGGATAGATAGACAACCCAACCGACACAAGGACAGACAAACACTCACCGATCGAAAATACACCTTTTCGCGTTGCGGAGCACGCGGGTCACTCTAGTTTCAACTACTGCAGTAGTCTGCACTACCAAAGTCGTTGTTATTGAAATTTCCAAATGCGCCTGCGACACAACCTGTGTACATATGTAGATGTTATTGCTCTACTCCTCTGCCGCAATCTGACACACAAACGCCAAGGGTGAATCAAAACAACCAAACGTTTCCAGTTTCCCCTGGTTTCTAAACAGTGCCACACAAGGGCTGGTGTTAGGATCGGGTCCTGCGGTGCCTTCTAGTTCCTGCGGAGCTGTTATAGTAGTCCCATCCGGATCTTCGGCCTCGAACCTGTCCCCTCTGTTCTCAAATCCGGTGGCCACACGGGTCTGGTCGACTGCGACATCCAGTAGGCACTGCAGCTGTTCTTCTGTGGTGGGAATAGGTAGAAACTGGCCGTCTCCCGTGCATTGTGTAGTGAAATCGTCCCCAGTCGTGAAGGTATCTTGGTAGCAGGCGCCGTCACACTCGGAGTAGAGATCCGGGCAGCTCACTTCCTAGAACAAGTGAAAAAGCAAATGAATTAGCAATACTCATATATAGGTGAATACGAACCAGTCAAACGCCTTTTGGGGGCGACTAACGGAGCGAGCGAGAGGGTGGGTCTTGCACGTGCGAAATTTCGAGGGGGTACCTCCAACTGACTTGTGCACGGCACCCTACTAACCGGTCTCTAGCGATGTGCCAAATTTGAGCACAATCGGCCCAGCCGTTCTCGAGATTTGGAAGTGGCACCCTGCACGTGCGCACGTGAGAATTGGTCCTTACTGACTTGTGCACGACACCCTTCTAACTGGTCCCTAACCGTGTATATACCTACCAAATTTGAGCGCCATCGGTCCAGCCGTTCTCGAGATCTGGAAACGACCCCTGCATATGCGCACGTGCAGCATCACGTGCACTATGCACGTGCACTATACCTATGCACGTGGCACGTGCATAAGGGGTCACCCACGTGCATCGGGAATAGTTCAATACTTGGTAAAAGGAATGAAGCTATCCTAGAAAAACTACCGCAAAAATCGGTCTACCACAAAAACTACCGCGAAAATCGGTCAAGTGGTTGCTGAAATATACCTAAGCCTCGCAAAAGCGTCCGCCCGGCCGGGCCGCTCATACTCAGAAATTTCCGTTAACCCGCGCCCCACTGGGGTCTGCGTATAACACGCCCTACTGGGGGGGGGGGGCTATTCATAGCCCCCCCTCCTAACTCCGAAACTACTGGGCCGATCGTCAAAATTCAAACGGCGTCTGATAGCCCCGGAAAAATTGTCGAGCGAAACCTAATTTCATTGACCTCGAGGTCACCGATGACGTCACAGGTCACGTCAAAGTAAAAATTATTAGCATTTTGCTTGTTCACGTTTTGGGCTCTGGCCGCCGTCTTACGAGTCAGATCAGGCTCATTTTTGGATCACACACTCGTGAACAGATGCTTTAGATACCCCGAGGGTACCAAACTTGTACTTTGATTTTCAGGTCAAGGTCAGGTCATCACAGGTCACGAAAATATTATATCATGCGTCGGTCACGTGACACATGTTTTATGGTCCATTTAGGCCAGAGATTTCGAATGTGATGTCGTCTGTGTTATTCGAGGTCATTTTGAGTCGAATTTAGCTTAGGTCAGGTCACTTTCAGTTCAAAAAAGGTCAAATTTTGAAGTTAAAATTTTTCAACAAAAAAGGTGTCTATTGGATGCAGTTTGAGCTCAGAAACACGATGGTGCTATTTATATTGGCGTACGATGTCAAATACGTGCTGAAAAATTGATTTGAAAAATTAATAATTGTGAATTTTTTGCAATAATGCGTAAAACTTGGCCATTTGTTAAGATATTTAGCTAAAACTTGCTAGAGTTAGTCATAATAATGCGTTCTATCACATATATTCCGGTTTTTTCGAAAAGTAAAAAACTTTTTGAAAAAATGTAAAAATATAAATTTTGGATTTTATTATATCAATTTTTCGAAATTTTCAAAATTTCGAAAATCCGAGATAGCAGTTTGATAGCGCAGTCTATTCTGAGTCCTCTCATGCAAAGAAATTGGATCTAGCTTAAAAACTGAGCTCTTGGAAGCGATTGCCGTGGTTCAATGTTTTGCGTCGAAATCGGCCGAACATGACGTCACTCTGACGTCATTTCCGGCCGACCTATGGTAGCTACGAAGTTAAAATTTTGACACAAGGTGTCAAATTGATGCAGCCGAAGGTACTAAAAGTTTGGCGTCGATACGTCGAGCGGTTTGGAAGTTATTGCAGTAAAACGGGAGGGGGGGCTATAAATAGCCCCCCCCAGTGGGGCGCGGGTTAACCCGCGCCGTGCTGGGGGGGGCGTTTTTACGCCCCCCCCCCCCCTCAGGTTTTTCGCGAATATCTAAAAAACGGCGGCGCGCAGCGCCGCCGTTTTTGGTACACGTGTTCCTACATCATTTCCGCACATGTTGTGAAAATTTCAGACCTAGGCCGTTCAAGGTCAGGTCACCAGGTCACGTCAAGTGACCTTACCTCAGAAAAAGTTCAAAGGCTCGCTATAGCTACAACGACTGAACGATCACTTTGAAACTTTCAGCGATTGATATGAGTAACAGTATGTATAAAATGTATATCTCGGATTTTTGATATCTGTGACCTAAGGTCAGGTCAATTTTGCGACCTCTCCATTATAAGTCAATGGGAGAAAATTGAAATGCGCCTCTTTTGGACGAATATCATTCAAAACGCTCTCAAACATCGGTTCATAGGTAAACATGACACACTGAATAGGAAAAATGCACCTGTGACCCCTCTGTGTGCCCCTGAGGTCATCTCAGGTCATGAACGGTCGCCAGCAGTTTTTTGGCTATAACTTTTGATAGAGACGTGCTAGAGCGGTGAAAACACGTCAGATGTGTTCAGCTCGACGATACGGATCGACTGATATGCAACATGACCCTTTTCGGTCAGGTCATGACCTTGACCTGAGGTCAAATTTTCAAAATGACCTTTCAAGGTCAACGAATAGTTCATTCGACGCGTCTCGACGAGAGGAACACGATGCTGGCAAAAGTAATGTCATGGCGCTTATGAGTCAAAAGTTATTGACGAAAAAACGTTTTTCGTAAAAACGGCTATTTTTGGAGTTTTTGCCCTCTGGAGGCTAAACCGTTGACCTGAGGTCAAATCTGAGAACATTACTCAGAAAGGTCTGTAAAAGGGCTATCGAATGCGCTTTTCCGCGGCGCTGTAGCTCTATCGGTTCCCGAGATAGCCGTTGGCAGTTTTCAAAATGTTGAAATAGTCAACATTTTACCTTTGGTGACCTCTGGTGACCTGACCTTTGACCTGACCCAAAAAATGACCGAAGTGTTTTCGTCCTTATTTTTGACGCTCTTTCGATTGCCGCTTACCGCGTGTCGCTACGTGGCCCAGGAGCCGAGTTAGACGGGGGGGCGTGAAAACGCCCCCCCCCCCCCCAGCACTCGGCGGAAAGTTCAGGCCACCAGCACGGCGCGGGTTAACCCGCGCCCTGATGGGGTCTGCCGAGCAACGCGGTCTGATGGGGGGGGGGGCATTTTGTTCCCCCCCCCTAAGATCTCGAGAACCACGCAACATAACGACAAGCGGCAAACGGCGTTGGATAGCCCCAACGGGGAACTACCTTGTGAGCCAATTTCATTGATCTCGGTCAAACCGATGACGTCACAGGTCAGGTCAAAGGTCGAAAATTTCACCGTTTACAGGCATTTCAAGAAATGCGGAGTAAAATGCATTTCATTGAAGATCATCGATGGGGAAATGTTCGTCAAATACATATTTTGCTATTTCAGGTCACTGATACCAGGTCAGGTCACTGAAGGCAGGGGCGTCGCCACGGATTTTTGAGTGGGGGGTCGGGTTTCCGGCCTTCATCTTGATGGGTACCTAGGTGTGTTTTTAGCCACACTCCCGGTTTTTTTCGTGTGTTGAGAAAAACCTCGGCGCGCAGCGCCACGAAAGGAGCGGTATATCTTATTGTACACCACTTTTGCATCGTGCATAAAAATCAAGCATAGGTCACCTGAGGTCAGGTCACAATGTCATGTCAAGTTTAGTTTTAATGCCTCTAAAAACTGCAATTTTGTCATTCCTATAGATTATCTCCTATAAGTCTGAAGTTTGGTGTAATGAATGAGATTATAAGTGCCAACAGTTCATGAATCTGGGATTTTACATCTGAGAAGAGAAGTCAGGTCAAATATGTGACCTCACCAATCATGATAAGATATGGGAAAAAGTACGAATGCCCTCTGCTTTGAACGAATATGCTAAAAACGCTAGATACTTTTGTGCACTGCTCATTTTAGAGACAAGGTGCAGCTAATGACCAGTGGTGACTTGAATGGTCAGTCATTAGGTCATCAAAGGTCTCTAACACATTTTAAACGACAACTTTTGAGGAAGACGCTGTAGAGCGATGACAGCACCTGAAGTGTGTTCAGCTCAGCAACACATATCGATCTATATGCAGCAGGTTGTTTTCCGGTCAGGACATGACCTTTACCTGATGCTAAGTTTTCTAGTTAAGTTTTTTAGTTCAAATTGTAAGCCATGCGACGTGTTTCGACGAAACAAACACGATGGTGATAACATGAATATCATACACATTCACTGAATCCTAGGCTGTTACAGAACAAAAGTTTCGGGAAAATCCGTCCGTTTAGCTGTTTGGCCTCTGTGGTACACAAGCCATAGATCCAAAGTCATATCTGAGGCAAGGTTGGCGAAAGAGCTTTAATAAAAGCTATCGTATACGCTTTCTGTGTCGCTGTAGCTCTTATTCGTGTTTTACGGGTCGCTAAGGTAAAACGTTTACCAACGTAACGCTAAGGTATGCTTTCGGCCCCTGATCGAGGTAGAGCTTCGCGGAAAAGCGAGGATGCTGCCCGTGATGAGAGAAAGCTGATGATGCCCAATTTTAACCCTCGCCCGTATTGGTGTTTTTCCAGCCGCGAACGTATAAGGGGGGGGGGTCCATTGGACCCCCCCTTGCCGTTTCGCCCCTGATCGAGCTAGAGCTTCGCGGAAAAAACGAGCGTGTTGCCCTTGACAAGAGGAAGCCGATGATACCCAATTTTAAGGTCCTAGGTCATCGGTTGACCTTGCAGGGCAGGTCAATGACCCAAAAGTCGGGAAAATCGGGACCTGTCAGAACGTCGTAAAATGTGGCTACTATGGGGTTTTTCGGGGTGCTGATCACGAATATCATGCTAGTTTTGATCACAGATGATGTCTTCATGCATTTAGGCCAGGTCGGGTCAGGTCAGGTCAGGTCAATCAGTAGGGGTCCTGCCGGGTATTCGTAGTAGGTGTCAACCGGCTCTGACAGCTTCGTAACATGTTACGAAGGCACCAAAACTACTTCGTAAATGTTCGTTCATATGGTTGCTTTATTCGCATTCAGCTCCAAAAACGCCTAGAAACATGTAAAACTCGAAAAAGTGAACCGAGGTCATCAAAGGTCAATGACCTGACCTGA